GGGAACTCTGCTTTGCGGAGGGGTGCTGGTACCTCCCAGCCTGCGTGTGCAGAGGGCTGTGTGCAGCTGCCGCCTAGTGGCCACTCGTCAGGCGGGAGAGGGGCTCCCACTCGCAGACCTACCAGTAGACGAGCGAGTAGTTGGTGGCCACGATGCAGAGGGCACCCAGGTAGTGCCAGCAGAAGCACATGGTGATGAACATGAGGTTCCCCTCGTCCTTCTGGTCCCATTCCGGAGTCCCGAAGGGCGGGAACAGCACAAACCCAATCTGGAGGAGTGGGGAGAGGTCAGCCTGGTTAGCTGCCCTGTGAGGCGGCCTGGCCGCTCCCGGGCACTGGCCGCTCCCCAGGGCCCTGCCACCACACTTCCCACTGCCATTCGCACACAAAGGCCCTTCCCAGTGGAAGGCTGTGCCGAGTTAATCTTGGTTTTCCTGCGGGCTTATCTCAGAGTGCAAGGCTCCAGGGCCTGTGTAGGAGCTAGTAGTTAAGCACGCACAGCCTCGGAGGGGCGGCAGCTGCACGCGAGGGCGGCCTGGGAGTGCTCGTCTGCTCCTGGCGGTAAATGGGCCAGCAGCCGTGAGTGGGGAGGTTGCCAGGGCCAGTGGGGAGAAAAGGAACCTCCAGCCCGTTCCTGGGTGCCCAGTGGGGCCCCCGGCATGGCCACGCGAGGGGCATGGTGTGAAGTGTCACCTGCCAGAACCAGGTTCCCTGGAGAATGAGGAGGCTGGTCCGGAACAGCTCCAGCACGAAGTTGTCGCGGACCATGACCTCCACGAACAGGCAGCCGCTGCCTGCGAACAGCGCGAACAGCAGCAGCATGTGGACGTGCTGGTCCAGGGGCGGCCGGTGGTGCACGTGGTAGTAGAAGAGGAAACCTGCAGTAGACCGGAAAGGCAGCGTGGAGGCCGCGTCCCCGCCTGCTCTCACGCTCCCCGTGCCTGTCTAGGCTCCTCAGCAAGAAGAAGTCAGTGTCCTGAAGGCCACAGGGCAGCACACGCACCAGTGGGTGGCCTCTGTGTGTTAGGAGGATGTGCAGCAAGAGCTGGGCTGTACCTCTCTCTGCAGGCGCCGTGGCAGTTCGCCGCGGGCTGGGTAGTGGCATCTGGTGTGACTCACCGCACATGTGCCACGAGTTCAGGTTTGCCCTCATTCCACCTGCTTTTATTTTTTCTCAAAAGACTTTCTTCTATAGGGCACGTGCGCTTGCCAGAGAGACAGAAAGCGAGAAATCCCACCCCCATGGGGAATGGCCATGCCGCAATCCCTTCTCCATTCTCCTCTCAGGATTTTGGGCATGCACACACACACACCCAGAGTGCCACCAGGTCTGGGACTTGAACCATGATCGACTACATGGGAGTCCAATGACGGGACTGCTGGTCCCGGTCCACTTGCTTTCTTAACTCTACTTGAGGCTGCTGGGTTACTGAACACTTTCACACCCCAGACAGCGGATTCCTTGGAGAGCTCTCCCAGCAGCCGGTGGGTCTCCTGTGATCTGTGAGACTAGAAAGCAGCACTGGGCGGGAGTGGAGTGCAGGCGGGTGTGTGTGTGCACACGTGTACCACACTCAGGAGTGTGTGCCTGTGAGCAGTGGGCTCTGGTGGGTGGCGTCTGTGTGTTTCAACCAGAGGCGTTGGGGGCTGCCGTCTGGACCGTGTCATCTGGCCACCCGGAGCACCGGGCTGGAGACCCGAATCTGAGATTCGGTTGGATCTGCAGCACCTAGGGCCCTTTGCTCTCGGGCCCCCATCTCCCTTCCCTCCTGGCCGTCCACGTGTTACCTTCAGTGAATACTGCCACCGCCATAAGCAGTCTGTCCACTCCCAAGGGGACGTGAGTGACCAGGTAGGTGAGCACGTCGGCGACCCCGGAGACGGCAAAGAACAGGTACATGGTGGCGTGCTGCCAGTTCATGAGCTTCACCCAGTGGCTCCCATCGTGCAGGTGCAGGTGGGGCCCGTCAGGGACAAACTGCTCCGCCAGGATCCCTGCAGGCAATGGCGGGGGAGCTGAGGCGGGAGCCCACGACACACAAGACGGCACAGACCGGAAGGTGGGAGCGTGGGGGCTGTGGGTGAGGGCGGCTGGGGGCCGCAGCCCTACTCCCTCGCCCTGGGCGCAGACACTTTGGTATAAAAGGTGTTCGCTGTGAACTCGGTGTAGACATCTCACCTCCATTTCTCCTTTGAGGGCCTGGGACTGGGGGAAGGAGGCGCAGCGGAGACACAGCCAGGTGTGTCCCCAGACCCTCCTGGTGGCGCAAAGGAAAGCGAGGCGTTCCTCTCTGGGCTCTCCCACTAAGGGAGCAGTAGAGGAGCCCCAGGTAGAAACCGTTAGGTTGAAGATAGAACCTGAGCAGACACGCAGGTGATGAAGCTGCCTGAGCACGCCCAAGGGAGAGCAGCAGCCCTCAGGTGTGCCCAGGTGTGCCCAGGTGTGTGTCTGTCAGGCACAGGAGCTCTGCCAGCTCCTCCAGCTCCGTGTTTAATGCCCAGGGAGGACGAGGCGAGGCCCTGCAACGCGTTCCCGCCACACCACGTCTTAGGAGAGCAAGCTGCAGGGGCGGGCCAGGAAGACCACCGAAGCAGAGCTAGGTGGCTGGCAGTTCTAATCTCTTCTGCCTGTTTTGTTTTTTTTGTTTTGTTTTCAAGTTGCCAGAGGGCTCATGCATTTGCTGAGAAAGAGGGAGAGAGGAGAGTGAGAAAGCATCCTCCACGGGGGACAGTCAGAAACATTCTTCACTTCTCACTCTGCTTGGGATTCTGGGTATGTGGACGCATGCACTCACTGCCTTTCCTAAGCGCCAGGTCCAGGACTTGAACCGGTTGGCCATGTGAGACCCAGCCACCTTCACCACACTGCTGCCAGCCAACCCATTCCTTTCACTGTTTTCACCTGTCATATTTGGGGGGAGGTTTGCATCTATGCCTGCTGTCTCAAATGTTCTTGGGAAATCTTAGCAGTACCCATGACACCTCTGACCCTCTCCCCATTTGCTTCTCAAACCAACCCCTTCCTGACTTCACACATGGATCAGGGAGTTGGAGAAAGTGGCCCAGAGTAGAAGCGCTGCCGGGCCAACGACGTGGGTTCCGGGTGTATTCCCGACCTCTAGGGCAGGGGTTCTGTGCATGCCGTGGTTTGAGTATGTCCCCCAGAAGCTCACGTGTTGAGACTTGGCTGTCCTGGGTGCACAGCGAATGTGTTAAGTGAAGACATGATTCCCTCGTGGTGTCCAGGGTGAGGCTGGTGGGCAGTGATTGGTTCCTGGTGATGACATCATGGAGGCGAAAGTCTCATGAGTAGATTAACGATGCCTCACCGGCCCCGGTGAGTTCTCGTGCTTGAGAAGGGGCTAGTTCTCGTGAGAGCTGGTTGTCAGGAGAGCGAAATCTGCCAGGAGTTCTTGCTCTCTGCCCGGCCCACAATCCTCTGTACTTCCGGCAGCCAAACCGTAGGCCTCGGACTTTGGACTTTGCAAACTCCAGTCTTGTGAGTTTGTAAATAAGGTACTATCTTTCTTTTCTTTCTTTTTTTTTTTTTCCGGAGAGGTTTTTGCTATAGGGCATGTGTGCTTGCCAGAAAGACAGAGAGACAGAGAGACAGAGAGACAGAAAGTGAGAAATCACCCCCCGGGGGGGTTGGCCATGCCGCAATCCCTTTTCCACCATCCTCTCAGGATCTTGGGCATGCAAGCACACGTGCCCAGTGTGAGTTTTAAGCCTCTGGGTCTGGGACTTGAACCGTGATCAACAACATGGGAGTCCAGCGACATGGCCATCAAGCCAACTGGTGGTCCCAGTAAGGCGCTATCTTTCTGAAACCACGCAGACTCAGGTGTTTCTTTTAGAGATTCGTAACGGTTGAGACAGGGCAAGTGCTCGAGAGATCGCCGTTGCGTGGGTGTTATCAATCTCGCCCTCCCAAGATGGCATGGGTCGTTATGCCTCTAGCTTCATACAAGTGAATTGCTACTGTCCTTGTCACTTCTCAGCACCAGAGAGCTTTCTGATGCTTGAGTGAGTAGGGAGCGTGAGATCTCAGCTGGATTGGGAGACACACCTAGGAAGCTGTGCTTGCCCCCAGAGAAGCTGTCGCGTGGCTCCGGCGCCTCCTTCCAGCTGCAGGGGTGGGGTAAGATCCTTGTTGCCATGCAATGGGCAGACCCCAGGGAAAGCACTTTTTTTTTTTTTTTTGGAGACGTTTTTGCTATAGGGTGCGTGCGCTCGCCAGACAGACAGAGACAGAGAGATAGAAAGCGAGAAATCACCCCTCAGGGGGGATGGTCACACCACAATCCCTTCTCCTCCATTCTCCTCTCGGGATCTTGGGCACACACGCACACACGCCCGGTGTGAGTTTAAGCCACCGGGTCCGGGACTCGAATCGCAGTCGACTATGTGGGAGTCCAGCGACATAGCCATTACGCTAACTGCTGGTCCTAGCACTTTTTTTTTTTTCAAAGAGAGGTTTTTTGTTACAGGGAACATGACCTTGCCGGAGAGACAGAGAAACAGAAAGTGAAAAATCAGCCCCCTTCCCGGGGGGTGGGGGGTAGGGTGGGGATGGACACACCACAATCCCTTCTCCTCCGTTCTTCCCTCGGGATTTTGGGCACATAGACACACGTGCCTTTTGCAAGTTTAAGCTGCTGCTCTGAGACTCACACCCTGGTTGACTATGTGGGAGTCCAGCAACGTACCCATTACACCATCTGCTGGCCCGGAAAAACACTTTTAAAAAACATGGTCAGAGGGTGTATGTGCATGCCAGAGAGAGAAGGGGAGAGGGAGAAAGCATCCCCCAGTGGAGCACGATCGCGCTGCAGCCTCTCTGTTTCTCCACCCTGTTGGGACTTTGGGCATGCACACATGTATCCTGAACGTCTTTCAAACTGCCGGGGCCGAGACTTCAGCTACACAGTTGGCCAATGCAGCATCTGCCTTTCTTAGCTTCTGGGCCAGAAGAATGCTTCTTCCTGTTGTCACTGTTGGGACTTTGTTCAGTTCATTCTGTGAAGGCCACCAGTGAAGTGGGTGGATTCTGTTGGCATGCGGCAGAGTAAGGGACAGTCCCCCTCAAGTAGCCTTCCTGGCCTCCCTTCAGTCTCTGCTAGCCTATCTCAGCGGGCTCCCAGCACAGAGCCCTCTGTCTGTAATCACTGGCATTTGAGGGTGGAAGATTGGGCAGTGCGTTGGGTGTTACCTACTCTGGGACTCAGAAAGGCAATTGGGGGAAAAGATGATTTTTCTTAAACTAACTCTAAACTCCTCTAATGCATGTCCATAAACCTAATACTTTAATTTGTTCCCCCCCCCCTTTTTTTAAATTACCAGGGGGCATGTGTGTTTTCCAGAGGCACAGAGAAGGAGGGAGCACCCCTAGTGGGGAGCGGTCACACAGCAATCCCTTCTCTTCCATTCTTTCACCCAGGCCTGCACGCATCTGTGCCCAGTGTGTCAATCGAGCCACTGGGGCAGGCTTCGAACTGCAGTCGGCCACTTACGATCCATTCTCTGAACTCCTAGGCTATGGGGCCAGCCCGATTCATTCCTTTTCTCTACTTTTGGGTTATGTCTTTTTCATACAGTCTGTGTTCTATTCCTACAACGTGTTAGTCCTGTATCCTAGATGTGGTTTGGCAGTTTTTCACAGTGCACAGTAATGCTAGGTGCTAATAATATTATAAAGCTCTGTACACAGTGGATGCCATGGCAAAACAGCTGAGTGGGCAACAGGAAATCCTTGCCCTATCTCTGCCAGTGAAAATACCTACTTCACAGAGCCCAGAAAATGGGTTAAGAGGAGGCAGTCAGTGCTACGGAGGTTAAGGCACTTGATCCCACATGGCCGACTGCGTGGTTTGAGTCCTAGACCTGGTAGCTTGAAAACATGGCTGGGCACGTGAGTACAGGCCCCAAATCCTGAGAATAGAATGCAGGAGAAGGGATTATGGCATGGCCATCTCCCCGAGAAGGGGGTGATTTCTCACTTTTCTCTCTCTCTGTCTCTGGTGACCACACATGCCCTACAACAAAAACAAACACAGACAGACAAAAAGGTTAAGGGTTCTAGGTACAGGGGGGAGGGGGACCAGGTGACCCCTGGTCTGCTCTTACCAATGACAGAGAACAAGATCCTGATTACAGCTTCAATGATCTCAAGACGCTGATGATGGTGACTCAGTTGCATCTTCTTCCCCTTTTGGTGAAAGTACTTCAGCGGGTACTTCACTGACCACCACAGTCCAATTATCAAGAAAAAACTGCCCGGGAGGGCATGGCCCTTGAAGTTCGCCATCAGGGTTCTAGGGTACCTTGGCAGTTAGGGGACAGCTATGAGGGAGACAGCAGAGACAACGTCCTAGTAAAGCAGTCCAACCTGGGGATTTCAAAGCAGAAACCACATCAAAAAGGATCAGTTCATTTTTGTTAAATAAGCTTTGTGTTAAGCGAGTTCCATGACCACGAGGAGCTTACTGGCTGGAAGGCTCCGAGGATGGGAGAATGCAAAGGACCGGGGTTGGGAGAGAGGAGGGCAGGTAAATATTGACTGTAAATATTGACTGTAAATATTTATTCACTGCAAAGAAACCTTCTGAAGCAAAAATGTGACAGAGGAAACTAGAAAAGAGATACAGTCAACTCGACAAGCGTTTTTGACATCGAACCCATCAAAAGGTAACAACCTAGCGTGACGCACTGCGGCAGCTCTGGCTCCATGAGAGAACTCACCAAGTAGCAAAGTCAGAAGACACGCAAGAGATGCAACAGAAGAGTCACCGGACTAATGACAAATCTCACCATAATGACTGGGGTGTCGGAAAAGTCGTGACGTATTTTTCTTGGAGAGGTTTTTGCTATAGGGCGTGTGCGCTCGCCAGAGAGACAGAGAGAGACAGAGAGATAGAAAGTGAGAAATCACCCCCCAGGGGGGGTGGCCATGCCGCAATCCCTTCTCCTCTGTTCTCCTTTCGGGATCTTGGGCACGCACGCACACGCGCCCGGCATGAGTTTAAGCCACCGGGTCCAGGACTTGAACTGTGGTCGACTACCTGGGAGTTCAGTGACATAGCCTTTACACTAACTGCTGGTCCTGTATTTTCCTGTTTTTCTATGTGAAAATGCTTCATGACTTTTCTGACAATCCAACAGGTGTACAAAAGGAGACACCGTGTCACCTTCCTCTGGTTTGGAAATAACTCGAGTTTGGGTGCAGATTGAATATGGTCGATATGACTCGAAACGTGTAACAGCCAGCACAGTGGTACAAACATCGCCTGCTTCCAAGGAACACCACAAGCGTGATTTGCTTTTATCCTATTAATATCATGGGATTAAAGGGTCAAAACGGTGGGTGCGGGGCGGGGCTTTATTCAGAACGGTTACCATCCTGTGGTGTGGGCGGCGACCTCGAGTGTTAGGATGGAGAAAAACAGCAGTTGCTGGTGATGACGATGCTTTGAATGCGTCCTTTCCCATCTCAGCTGTTTCCAGTGACCTCTGCCTGCGAGAATTCAGCCCTCACCAGGCGCCAGGTGCTGGTCTCTAGATGTAGGCATTCCCAGCCTCCAGCGGATGAGAAACACATTCTGGTTCTTTATAAATTACCCAGTCTGGGACTCTGTCATAGCGGCACAAAATAGTGGTCTGAGGCAGTGATCTAGAAAAGACCGCCGAGGAACAGGAGCGTTTGTGGTTTACACAGCCGGGTCCGAGGCCCTTCCCTCGCTCCCTGCTGGCCGTCAGGGCTGTTTCACATTTCACAGGTTGACAGTCGGAGGCTTTACTCTTCCCTTCATCTAGAACGTTTATAAACTTTAAAAAACTGTTTGTGGTGGGACCAGTAGATGGCGTAATGGTTATGTCACTGGACTCCCATGTAGTCGACCACGGTTCAAGTCCTGGATCTAGCAGCTTAAAACTCATGCCAAGTTTGTGTACGTGTGTGCCCAAAATCCCAAGAGGAAAATGGAGAAGAAGGGATTGCAGCAGGCTTGGGGGATGATTTCTCACTTTCTGTCTCTCTGGCGAGGGAATGAGCCCTATAGCAAAAATCTCTTTTAAAAAGTAATAAATGTTTGTGATTCTCAAAAGTCGAATAGTACTAAAGGTTTCTAATGAGAAGCAGCAGCCCCAGTGCCGCCCTCCGTGCCCCCAGGTGAAGCCACCTTGACCGTCTCCACTGCCTCCGTATTTACTGCCACCACTGGAGTTACCTGTGCTCCTGGCCTTCGCTACCTTCCCTGTCCAGCACTATTTACCAACGTCCTGGAGCGCTCTTGCAACCTTTCACCCCACCTCACCACTTCATTTTCACAGTCGTTACATCATACTGATTTTAATTTTCAGTTTCTTTTTATGGCTCTGCAATTCAAAGTCCTTCCCAGGGCCATGAACACCCTAGCGAGCTAGTCCTGGCTGTTCCTTCTGTCTTGCTCAGCGCTCTCCCACCCACACAGGATCCCTTCTCCCCCAAACAGTTCAGTACAGCCCACCCCTGCCCCAGGCCCTCACGCTCTCTGTTCTTCCTGGAGCAGGGCTCCCACGGAGAGCCAGCTGCCCTCTCCCTCTCTTGCTTCAGGTTTCTGTTCAAATGTCACTTGGTTCCCTGACTTTTCCATGTAAAACAGCAGGCCTGCCCTACTGATCAACCCATGTGCTCTTGTAACATTTCTTTGAAGTACGAGCCACTTCCCGAGGGTATAGACTGATTGTTTTTAGTGTCTATTTCAGTCCACTAACACAGAACCCTTAGCAAGCAGACACTGGACCTTGATTGTTATCGTAGGTCGCCTAGGTTTACAACAGAGCTGGACACCTCGTGACACTTAGGACTTATTTGTGGACTGAATGGATGCTAATGGAAGTGCAGCAGCCCCCCTTACCCATGGCTTCACATTCCATGGTGTCAGCTGCTCATAGTCAACCATGATCCAAAAATGTTACATAGACAATTCCAGAAATAAAGGACTCCTCAGTTCTACGTCACGCACCTCTCTGAACAGTGTGATGAATCTCACGCTGTCTGGTGCCAGCCTGCCTGGGGTGTGGGCCATCTCCTCGTGGAGTGTGTGCTGTGTATGTCCCATGCCTGCCAGACCTCCACCGGGAGCTGTGTGGCTATGCATAGAGCAAGCAGGGCGAGTCCAGTATCACGCGACACCCGAGAGAGCGCGCTCACATAACTTACTGCAGCACGTTGCTATAATCATTCTATTTTATTAGTTGTTATTGTCTCTAATCTCTCACTGTTTACTGGTTAAAATTTATCATTGGTACATATGTATAGAAAAAAACAGGTATTCTATTGCATAGTAGACTAATACAAAGTTATTTGCGCATTTAAAATATAGGATTATTAATTTTTATTTTGAATTTTTCTGTTGGATTATAGGAGTTCCTTACATATTTTGGATACAAGTCCCTTATTATATACATGGTTTACAAATATTTTCTCCCGTCTTGTGGGTTGTCTTTTCACTCTGTCGACTGTTTTGCAGGAGGTTTTTAGTTTGATGCAAACCCACTTGTTTGTTTTGGGTTTCGTTGCGTGTGTGTTTGGTGTCATACATGAACAAATGATTTCCAAGACTAAGGACATGGAGCGTCCCCATGTTATTCCCCAGGAAGTTCAGTTCCAGATTTTATTTTATTTTATTGCCTTAGGGCACATGTGCTTGCCAGAGAGACAGGGAGAGGGAAAGCGAGAAATCATTCCGGATGGCCACACCCATAATCCCTTCTCCTCCATTCTCCTCTCAGGATTTGAGGCATGCACGCACATGTGCCCGGTGTGATTTTCAAGCTGCCAGGTCTGGGATTTGAACTATGGTCAGCCATGTGGAACTCCAGTGCCTTACCGCCATGCCACCTGCTGACCTTTCAGCTTCAAATCTTATGTTTAGATTTCCATTCCATTTTGTGTTATTCATGAATGATGTAAGATAAGGATGCAGTGTTTTTTATTTATTTTTTTATATGGATAGCCAGTTTTCTCAATATAATTTGTTGAAGAGCCTTTTTCCTCACTGTGTGCTCTTGAAACCTTTGTGAAAGATTAGTAACCTTTTATGAGCGGGTGTATTTCTGGGCTTTCTATTCTGCCCATTGGCCTGTGTCTGCTTTTATACTAGAATATAATGTTTTCATTACTATAGCTTTATAATATATTTTGAAATCAGGAAGTGAAATACCTCCAGCTCTGCTTTTTATGTTCAACGTTGCTTTAGTTATTTGGAGTCTTTATGATTCCATGTGAATTCTGGGATTTTTTTTAATGCGAAAACTGCTATTGGATTTTGATAGGGATTTCACCGACCGCTGTAGGTGATGGGCACATTTTGGCAATATCGAGTCTCCTGACCTATAAACGCAAGATATCTTTCCATTTATTTCTGTGTCCTTCCTAGCTTTCATCAACATTTTATAATTTCTGTTGTAGATCTTTCACCTTCTTGGTTAAATTTATTCCCAAGTATTTTATTCTTTTTGATGCTATTGTAAGTGGGATTGTTTTCTAAATTTCCTTTTTCCCATACAACTCATTGTTAATGTACAGAAATACAACTGATTTTTATGTTAATTTTGTGTCTTTACCGACTTTATTTATTCTAACGGTTTCATGGTGGCGTCTTTAGGGCTCCTCTACATGAACTGATGTCATCTGCAACATGTTTGCAGTCTATTTCTCCAGCCTTCTCTTTTGGGGCTCCCATTACATGTATGTGGGTACACGAACTTTGTCCCATGTGTCTCTGAGGCTCTTTAGTTTGTCTTCATTCTTTTTTTTCCACCCTGTTCTTCAGATTGGATCATTTCTATTGATCTATTTTCAAGTTTCATAAATTTTTTCTATCATTGTCTTAAACTTTGCTATCGAGTTCATCTCCTAAATTCGTAATTTTGGTAGTTATATTTTTCAATTCTAGAATTTCCACTTAAGTTTTGGTTTATATTTTGTATTTATCTATTGAGATTACCTGTCTGTTGCGTCATTTAATTCTTTGAAGACTTTATTTCTCTGAACATATTTAAAATAAATACTTTGAAGTCTTTGTCTACTAATTACAATATTAGGTCCCACTTAGATGTTGGTTTTACTTTCTGCTTTTTTCTGCCTTTTTTTTTTTTTTTTTTTGAGAGGTTTTTGCTATAGGGCGCGTGCACTCGCCAGACAGAGAGAGACAGAAAGACAGAAAGCGAGAAATCACCCCCAGGGGGGATGGCCACGCTGCAATCCCTTCTCCTCCATTCTCCTCTTGGGATCTTGGGCACGCATGCACACGCACCCGGCGTGAGTTTTAAGCCACTGGGTCTGGGACGTGAACCACGGTCTACTACGTGGGAGTCCAGCGACATAGCCATTAC